TATATTTTCAAGTTTTTTGAGTATCAGTTTGTTTTACTGCCCTGATGAGAAATCCACCACACTACTTTGTAAACCCCAGGACTATTTGCCTCAGCTAAATCAGAACATAAGAACAAAGTGCCATCAGGAAGAAGTAATAAAATATAATAATATGTAAGCTGAAAAATATATTACTGCAGAACCCCTGGCTGTGCTTTAAACAGGCAGAATGAGGTGTCTCTGCATCAGTGCTGTATTAATCACACCGGGGGAGCACAGGATGCATCACTGCAGCCATCACAGGCAGCTTCACAGCACAACCTGAGCTCCTAGGCCCTGCCTCACTTCATCCCAAATACCCAAGTGTGGCCTTCAAAACCCATTTGAGTGCCCTCCCAGCCCTGGGGTAGTGTCTACCCCACRGAACTGCCTTTTAATACCAAACCCTCTTTAGAGCATCCCCATTTCTTCACTGTGGAGGTTTGGCAATGCCTGTCCTAGCTCAGCCTGGGCTGCAGCATCCTTAGACATTCCTGATGATCCAATGCAAAAGCAGAGTGAGGACATGATGGACATTAAGCCAGCAGTGGTTCAGTGACAGCAGGCTCAGTCCTGATGCAACAGAGATTTTATTCCCTCGCCYGCTGTAGGGAGTTTGATTTTATGGTTAATTGGCAGTGGATTGGGAGTCACAGCCCTCTGGGCATGACTAAGCCATAGTCCCACACCTTTCCCCTAAGGACCAGAAAACTCTCAGCCCAATACTGCTGCTGTTTGCACTGTTGCCATGGGCTGATAAAATCGCCCTCTTAAAAAAAAAAAAAGAGCAGGTTGTCATGTGAGGAGTCCCTCCGGACTTCTGTAAGACAGAAATAAATCCCGTAGTGCAGAACTCCAGCAGGATATTTCGGGCAGGGTTTAGAGAACATTCCCGCCTTCAGCATTTCCTGTGAATACCACAGCGCCAAAAAGCACCTTTAGGAAAGGCCTGCGAATGTGCGAGGTGAGCCCTTGCGGATGCTGCTCATTAACACGCCACTGKCTAATGAGCGCTGATGTCAGAGCCGCCTGTAAACAGCCCGCGGTTCAACCGAGGAAGCGGCTTCCTGGAGATTAATGGGGACAGTGATGCATGTCGTGTGTAAACAGAGCTAATCGGRGATGCCGGCCCTGGGACCACGGGCCGGGCAGGAAATGAGCGCGGCTCAGAACTTTGCAGACTCACTTTCTTACTCTGACCTTTCCAAAGACAAAACAAACCCATCCCGTTCAGCGCCCATGTRAACACTTTTCCCCGGCAGAAGTCCTGATGAAACTGCAAAGGTTCCCAAGCTTGCTCCAAACTTGAGTTTCCATCATGGATGGCTGAAAAAATCCTTTTGAGATGCCTGGCTGGCAGACCCCAAATGGAAGGTGTCCTGTTCCTATCTCCATAGCTGAAGCGATGCAGTTTTGTCTCCTTCCTTTTAACAGCAGCAGCAAAGGAGGGTTTTATAAACTGAGCTGTGTGCAGGTGTCACAATGATTCTCCCTCTCTATCTGAGGAATCTCACACGGGACAAATCCTCCCATGTGACAAATCTTTCCAGTGCACCACTAAATAAATTCTCTGAATTAGCGGACTCTGAGCTCCTCTACCCAACATTTCCAATAAAACCCTTTTCCTTGTGGATTTGCTTCGTGGGCAAGAGATAAAAAAAAAAAAAAAAAAA